CAGAGAGGAAAAGTCTCGAAGTGATTAAATGCCATGAAGTTTCTCAAAAGGAGAGAGGAATATGCAGAGGAGGCTGAGGGGGCTAGAGCCTTTCACTTGAAGCCAAGGGCTTCAGCGAGAGCCAAAAAGGCTTCTTGGTGGGGGTATTCTATCCCTCGTTAAGAATCTCACGTGTATTTCTAATCCTAGTCCAATGAGCCACTTTCTGCCCCGGCCGAGGCTCAGTCCGGGATGAACAGCAGATGCCGAGGGTTTGCTGTGAACTGTGGCTCTCCTGTAAGAGCTGATAAATACTGCGGCATGCTGAGGGTGGTCAGCGAATCCACCAACACATGTTCTCACAGGAGGGGTGGATTTACTTGCAAGCACATGTATTTATTTGTGCTTAAGCAGCAGGCCCACAAAGGCATCATTTTGCAGGGAGAGGCTCTGCTGTTACCCACCAGGGCCAAGCTCCAGCGCAGGAACTGCAATCCCTTGGGGTGCAGAGCCATCCTGCAGCCCTGGGCTGGAGGCTATCCCCAAGCAGGACCACTGGCAAGGACAATGCTCCAGGAAGCACCAAATCCAAGTGTGGAACAGCAAGCCAAGCAGGATTTCGTTTTCAAAGCACCACCAGCTCCCAGCACTGTCCCATCTGAGCAGGAAACCCTCCTTGTACTGTCACAGAGGAAGGAGCCACTGGCTTTGCAGTGTTTCTTTGGGTTTCTACTCTGTTATCCCAGGAAGAAGGAGGGAGATCAGCCACCTGCACCAACCCATATCCCTCTCCCAAGCCATCCTTCAGGCACTCGGTGAGGTCTCTGCAGCTGCACAGGGCCAGGAACCAGGAGCCCAGGGTGACGATTACTTAATCTTTGTTCCATTATTTCAGCGGGCCTGGAAGTAGGACATACAGGAGAGGTGCTGCCAGCAGCACTCCCCTCTCCCAGCAACTGTCAGCAGGAGAGTCCCCTGCACCACCTCCTTTTCCAGCATCTGCAGGAGAACGAGTTATTCCAGAGCTCAAGAGCAACTAATGTCCTTCTCCCAAAGTCCCATGCAACCTGCAGCAGCACAGCCCATTACCCAGTAAGCTTCTACCCTCTAACATGTGAGAGAAAAGCAAAAAGACCTGACATACTAGAACCCCAGTTTAGCAAGAAATATCAGTTTATTGGTAATTCTGAGCACAAACATTCAGTTTCGTTGCCTTTAACAATATCTCTTTGTATGTATACACTTGAACACAGCAAGAGTCTGCTCCTGACTTCTAGCTGAAATGCATTTCCAGGCCCTAAAACTACTGACAGGCACCCACAGGACTTTAAAAAGCATCCAGACACTTTGCCTGGATCTCTCCAGAGAGCAGCAGCACCGTGCAAAGAGCCAACATCCACGCAGCTGGTGCCTCGGGGCAACTTATCCATATAGTCAAACCCTGGGAAACAGAGAGCAGCTCTTAGCCCAGCTCTCCTGGGCACTTGAGGACTGCATTTTCCCAGATATGCCAGGCACATGCACACTGACACAGAGGCAGAAGAGTCCATGCATGGATGCTCAGTATCCCCAAAAACATACCCTAGTCATTTGGATCAAAAATACACAATACATCTGTTTAAAATAAGAACTTCCTTTCCTGCAGCCCATACCAGCAATGAATTGGCTATCCAACTGCAGCCTCACTGCCCCGAAATCTTCTCACCAAAAATCTGCACCCCAAATCCTACTGCTTTATCACTAAATAGTAAAGAAAAACAATACATGATGCCTACAGGAAATATCTTCTGTCACTCCTCAAATATTAAGATGCATGGAGAGACAGAAGCAGAGGATGCAGGGAATGTGCCATGTCCCCAGTGCTGCTGGAGCCCTGGCTTTTTGGAGCATGAAGCATTTTGTACTTAAGCTTGGCCCCGCACTTTATGCCACACTTGACACTCTAATGCGGAAACAAGTTTCAGATTTGAACACTGAAAGACACAAAGCACCTTGAGCATCTTCCAAGTGAGGCACTGCAAGGGGTCCCTGTGCACAGCAACTGCCCAGCGCAGTTTGGCTCTCCCGACATTCCCCATGGACCTTTCCCAGCTGCAGAGCTTGCAGCAGGCTGGGTGCTGGTGCAAGGACAGGATGGGTCATGGCAGAGTGTTGCAACGTGCCCTCAGCAAGTCAAGCACACTTATATAACTGGCACACAACGCTGAGGCGTCCGCTGCTTTTAAGAAAAACAAACAACAAAAAAACCAAAATAAAACAAGAGGAAAAAACAAACAAACAAAAAAACCCACACCAACCCCCCCTCCAGAACAACAAAACAAAAAACCCCACACATATTATGCCACACTACATTAACTGTAAACGATTGCAATCCCTCTACATATCAGTTATTACTTTTGAAAGCTTGGGAGAAAAATTACAACTACGAGCTCTGCTGCCAACAGAGAAATAACAATAGTTTCCAAAAGTCTCAATGCTTTTCCTCGGTACTGATAGTCCTGTTGATTAAGTCTGTTCCAGAACCCTCCCCGGCGTGCCGAGCAGCATTTCCTCCCCTACAAACAAAAGCTTTATCTCCAACACACTGAAAACCGACTCCGAGCACTGCCCCAGCATTGTGGCACTCGTTAGGAATAAAGATAAACTGCTAAGGAGGGATTGTTCAACAGAGTTTTAATGAAGTTAAAGCACAGCCACCGCAGTCAATGGAAACTGGATTTACCCCGTCACCCACTAGCGATCGAACCAGCCCGAGCTTATCCCCCCCAGGGAAGCAGATCCCTCCGGCGGGACACAGCCTGCCCAGAAGTGATGGAGATGAGGGATGCACAGCTCCAGCATCACCCATCTCACCCCAGTTTGTGGATGGGGAACCCGCACTCCCCGGGTTGCCCTCTTGCATCAGCCATGGACCACTGCAAACCCTCACGTTACCCCAAACAAACAAAAAAAAAGCTACAGATAGTTGCAGAGGTAACTTTTCTCCAGCATGTGATGCTTTTATAGAGGATATTAAACTACTAAAAGAGTTAGCAACTCCGCAGCAAAAAAAATCAGCATTTATGATCCCACCAAGCACGAAAGATGTGCTTCATCTTGGTTCCTAAACTGAAATATGCAATTTTAAGCAATTTTAGTAATTAGAAACAGTATTACTTTAAGAACAAGAGTATTTACAATAGCTTCAAAGTTTGCTGTTTATACTAGGTATGGAGTAGGAAAAAAGCCTTAATTTTGCATTTTCAGATACGAAAACCATCACTTTAACCAATTCTTTGGCTAGTTTAGAACAAAGTTACAAACCATATTTCAAGTGGCTAAACGACACAGGGCCGCAGGTCCGCACCAGAAGATTTATATGTGCTATTACTTCACCAATAAAATTCAAAATGAACACAAGACACTCAAAAATCTGTTCCATATGAAAAAGACACTCCTGGGCATTAGCACTCCGGAAAAAAAAAAAAACATACAACAATAAATTTGTTCTGTCTGGGCTATTAACGCATTTCCCTGCCCGAACAAAGATACACTGTCCTATTTTAAGAGGTGCATGGGAATGCTGGAATTATGCTGACAAGACTAAAAGCTCGCTCTGAAAGGTGCCCATAGCTCAGGGAAGGATCCTTCAGAGTGCTCAGCAACAGGTGAATGGGATGAGTCAGGGTTTTAATGCAGAGGCCACATGTTCCTCTCGGTATGACACCTGATAATTTCAAGTAAAAGAAGGCATTTCTGCAGCCAGAAGTGAATACCACCAGGAGGATCTGACAAACCTCTAATAATTCTTCTTAATAAGGAGCTGGACGATCTCCAGCAACACTTCAGTGACCGTTCTCTATCCTGGCAGAGCTGAGGAGTATCTATTACAACCAGGGGTTTAATAGATTCAATAATCTATAAATCTGTTCAAACAGCAGAAAGGCCACACGACAGAAGCACTGTTTTCCCTCTCCCTTCCTGGATCCTTATTTCCCAGAGTTTTGCTCATAGTCGAGGGCACTTTTTACAAGTTTGTGAGCGTACACACCCTTAACTCTCTGTCCTCCTGGATTGTCAAACGCCTTGAGCTGTCAAAGCCTTTCCCCTCCGAAGTTCTTGAGCTTCAAGTTGTCTGATGTCTTATTTCAGCTTTCACCAGCCCAGAGCAGCGGTCACGCAACCAGAGAGGGAAGTGGCAGTGCCCCTGTTCTGCGCTTGGGCATGTACCTGAGCACCTTAAAACACCCTTCTGGGGATAAAACCCACCCCACAGTGCTGCTCCAAACCCAAGGTGAGGGGCTTGAAGCTCTGCTGCCATCCAGGACACACGAAAACACTGCAGGTTAATGACCTCGCTACACGGACAAGTACTTGGCGAGCGCCGCTTTTACTGAAAAACACCTGGATTTAATCGAAACACCCCAACAGCCCGCGACTCCGTTTCGACCTCCCCCGAAATTCACACCCTAAAGTGTTGGCAGCACAAAAAGGGCCAAAAGGGCGATCGCGGCCCCGGTCCTGGGGGTCCGTATTCGGCCACCCCTGCGCGATGCTGGGCGCGCCCCGCTCCCAGTGCCGGGACAGCGGGGACGGATGGATGGATGGATAATGTCCTAATAAGGATTCGGGAGCCCACGCTAACCGTTATCTCCAGCAGATCCCATCGTTCAGAGACCAAACCCGCTCCCAGCTTCCCTTCCTCCGGGACGCCCGCCCGGCGCGGAGGCAGCGCCAGCCCCGCACGGAGCGGGCGGCGGGGGCAGCCCCGAGCTCCCACCTTTGTCCCGGGACCGGCATCGCTCCCGGTGTCCTCCATCACCCCGGGCGGGATCGCGAGGGGACAGCGCACCGCGGGCCAAGTCCCGCACCGCGGCCGCAAGGCGGTACCGCTCGCTCTGCTCCGACAAACCAACCACCCGGAGTTTTGTAGGGATCCCTGGTGGAAGTTTTCCCGTCGCTGACAAACGCCCAGGTTCGGCCACCCACACACCCCGTCCCCGCGGGTCCCCCTCTGTGCCCGCAGCCCCCCCGGTACTCACACGTGCCGCGGCCAGCGGGGCAGGTCCCGGGGCAGGGCGGGCAGTGCCAGCCCGCCGCATCCCAGCGTGTCCCCGCCGCAGGAGCAGCCGGCGGGGCAGCCCGCGGCGGCGGCCGAGCCCAGCGGCCCCAGCAGCAGAAGCAGCAGCGCCGCCCGTGACGGCAGCGCCATTTTGTATCCGGCACCGGGGCAGCGTCCGCGGCGGGAGGAGGAGGAGGCGGCAGCGGGAGCGCTCAGCGCCGCTCCGCCGCCCGCACCATCGCCTCGCCCGCCGGCCCCGCGGGGCGCTCACGGCTCACCGGCATCCACCGCCGGGCGGGCACAGTGCGCGTCCTCCACCGCGGGAAGCGCCTCCTCCTCCTCCTTTCAGCCGGCGGGCGCTGGCGCTGGCCGTGCCCGGAGCGCTGGCCGTGCCCGCCGCGCCGCGTCCCGGTGGTGCCGCCGCTCTCTCCTCCCTCCGTCCCGAGCGCCGCTCGCCGCGGACCCACGTTGGCCACACCGCAACATGTATCCGCGCCGCCCCCCGCGCGCCCGCCCATTGGCTGCCGGGCGGCCCCCGCCGCGCCCCTATTGGCCGGGAGCCCCCCCGGACGCGCCGCCGCGGCGTCCCATTGGCGCTCTCCGCCTGTCAATCAGCCGCGCCGGGGCCCGCCCCCCTTTGCCACTCCAGGTGTGAACGCGGCCACCCCCTCGCGGAGCCTCTTAAAGGGGCCGCGCCCGCCGCGCCCTCCCCGCGGGACACCAACCTCCCTCCCGCGGGTTTGGGGAAAATCTGCTGGAACACCGGGCAGCGGAGGCTTCCCTAAACCCCGGTGAGCCCTCCTCTGGGCGCCGCGAAGCGCCTTGGGGCCACACTCTCCATAGTGTGTCCTTCGACGACCTCGTCCACGCGATCCCCGAGTGGATCTATGATCCACGCGTGTTGCAGCGGAGGCTGCGCTTCCCAAATATGCCGCTGTGTTTGGAAGCCCAGCACACGGCAGATGTAAAAGGAGCACACCCGGGTCGAAGTGTGACTCACCAAGAGCCGCACCGAGAGCATTACGGGCACAGCTCAGCTCAGAGCATCGAGCTGACTTTAGAGGCTGCTCCTGAGCTTAGTGGAGAGCGTCCAACTGGCTCTGGTCAAGTTTGGATGTGGCTCGACACAGCATTTAGGGGAGGACACTGTTGGAAGGCGGGTGAGAGTGCGGTTTAACCCCTTACACCAGGAGCTGCCTGGGGAGCAAGGGCATATTTTATGGAGAGAAACACATAACACAGCATCCTCACCTGAATCTCAACCATACATTACTGCTATTACTGGCACAGCAGTTCCCTGTTCCTCTCTATTTACTCCTGACAGCCATCTGCACAAGAACTATTTGGCTTTTGGGACAGCTTTGAATGTATCAGATTGCAGAGACTGATGACAGACAGAAAACTCAATCATTGCAAAGGCTAGGTAAAACTTGGGATTTAAGCTTTTGATTATAAAGAGGGGAGAGATTAAAAATATATTCGTATTATTATGGTTTAGGGTCTTACTTCAGCCTTCAAGAACGGAAATAAACAGGAGAATAGCTGATGTTTAGTCTCCTGATTTATTTTAAGGCTTTTTGCAAAGTAAGAGCAAGACTTCCCGTCCTTGGGGAGGGGACCTGATGCAGAAAGAGTAGATGTATTATAGAAAATACTGCAGTCTTATACAAATAAATACTTCTTTAGTTCCTCAATGTGGGAAACTCAAAGTCTAAGGCACTTTTATGGAGAGCATTTCTATTGCCCAGTAGGGAAGGCACCATAAAAATAATAAACTTTTAGTTCTTTTACAGTATTTTCAGATTTGACAATGAAACTTTTAAGCTAATTTTAACTGTTAACATTTTTTAATATGAGGGCAAGAGGCAAGAGGATGGCCATTGAGTTTCCCATGGAGAAAGAGATCTAAGAGCTTTAGATAACCTTTATAAAACAGAAATGTAGAAGAAACTGTTCTGGAAACTGGGCCAAATCACCTTGCATTTGCACAAGATCTCCATGCACTGAAAATAAGGGCAGTTGGTAGAAGCTGAGACTGCTCTCAGTTGTGCCCTCCCTCCTCCCCAAGCTAATGCCTGTGCTGGAGAGAAGTCTATGTACAGCATGGAGGATGTTTCTTCCTTGAACCTCATTAAATCTAATTAAATAGCTTACAAAAGTATTATGAAAACAAATTTTAAAATGGCAAAGGCATGCCAACAAGGAAGATACTTCTAATTCTGTCGGTGTCTTTTTGTGGATTTGGAGTCAGTTCAGAAGTGCACACTTGGAAGGTAATTGCTGACAGCATGCAGAATCCATCAAGCTATAATTAACACTCTACTATTATTCTAATTGCCTCACTCAAGCTTCTGTGTTTTTTAATTGTAGAGCAATTTGCCAATACAGAATTTAATTGCAATACATATTTTATACATTTTGGGACAAAGTACCATTATTTCCACTTCAGCAAAAATGCTCCTCAGTTTTTAATAGCTTGCTTTATTTCTTTCTGGGATTTTATTTTTTTTTCCCCGATACAGGAATCTGATTGCAACCTCTTGTGAAATTAGCAATGATATAATATCCAGGAGTGCCTGGAGGCTTCAGTTTGGATCATGACTCTATTAAGCTAGGAACTGTACATACATGTATCAAGACAAAGCCCTGAGGAGCTTGAAATCTAAACAGAGAAGACAAACTGAGGTGAGAACAGAAGCATTATCCCTGCTTTACAGCTGGGGAAACGGAGCCCCAGATGACTCACCTTAGGCAACCCCACACACCTGGGGTGCAGCCAGGAACTCACAGGAACCCTGAACGCAGGGCACCCTTCCTCTTCAACAACAGCTCAGTTTCTAACTCCTGGTTCCTGTGAAAGTATCTCTCTGTAATTTGATTTGCAAGCTAGACCTTCTAAATAACATTTACTAACCATCCAGGATCCACAGGATCCCCTTTCAGGGATGCCTTGGCTTTCAGAGCAAGACCCAGTCTTGAAGAGGAGCTGTGGTGAGGCTCCAGAGCAACCCAGCAGTGGTGAAATTCTGCTTGAAGGACAGTAGCAATGCTGTCAGGCTTTGGGAGGGATGTGTTTGACTCCTCCTGGCACAGGCTGAAGGTCACAGGCAGTGAAATAGAAAAGGATGGACCTTTCCTCATGGTGACCATCCTTGCATTTGACAATTTTCCTTCACTCCTGCCTGGTGTTTCTATCTGCAGGGCCACAAATCCCTCTGTAACAACATTTGTCTTCTTCTAATAATGTTCACGATGGCTTTCTACCCCACACCAGTGGTGCTGAGATTTGAAAAATGACTGATGCCCACGGCTACAATCCCTTACGTTGTCACCCTGTTGCACTGATGTGTCAATCAATATTATCATGGTGCCAAATGCCAAAAAAGTTTACAGCAGGTGTGTTTTGGGGACAGTGTGTGAGATCACAGAGATTATTCAGCACAGCAACAGTCCCATTCATACACAGCAACAGTGCTCTTTGGTATTAGTTGCTGATGGAGTGTTGCATGATTTGGTTCCTGGCATCTGGGTTGCAAGAGATGGTTTCTCTGGTATGACCAGATCAACCATAGCATCAGCATTCCAGAGGTTTATTAGCTGATCTGGTTACACCAGATCTGCGAGGACAATCTTATGGCTTGTTGCCACCCAAAGCTGGTCTCTGCCTCTCTCGGATCCCAACCCTGCTCCTCAGAGCTCGTTTTGTTGGAACAACCTGCAAGAAGCATGACGTGATCCAAAAGTGCCCAGCAGCAACAGCTAATGATAGCATCACTTCTCACTGCTTTAATAGGTGAAACCAATGCTTCTGAGCAGGAGGCAGCATATGACAGTGAGAATTAAAGGAAGAGATGATCAAGTCAAGCTTCAGTATAGGGTCACTAACAGCCCTGACATGAAAGTTTACCTTGGGCTTAAAGTCCGCAGAGTTTGCCTTGCAATGACACACAAACCTTTTCTTCCTTCAAAATTAGAGTCCAGTGGTTGAACTCTGGTCCTCCAGTAACATAAAGTCTTTGATCAAGACCAGATCATGCTCCTTAATGTGAAAGTTCACTCGAGTAGCTGCTGTCATTTCATTTTTCACAGGCAATGAGTTAAATTGCTTTCCCAGCCTGGGACTGGCACAGGCAGTTAGCAAAAGATGGTGCAAATAGCTAGATCCAATTAACTAAATCCAAGTTCTGTCACAACTTTGTCACGTCTGATCTTCCCCACCCAAAGGAATTGTTTTAAAACTTTTGTGTAAATGTGTATTTATCTTTTTAAAAGTAGACTATCAAAATAGCATGCCAGCAGTTTACCGTCAAGACAGGAGGGAGAGAGAAAGGGGACTGCAATATTCCCTGCCATTTGGATGGGAAAAATACCTGGTAAAAGTGAGGGTTTCAAGGTAAACCTGTTTTTGGGGTTTTTTTTGTGGACAAGGCAATGGAGTGACTCCAAGTGCAAAAAGACAGCTGGTAGACCTGAAGCCTGAACACCTTCTGCTATGATCACACATTTCAGCATGACATTACTCTTCTCTAATCACACTCAAGCTCTCAAATCCAGAAGTTTGCCCAAGCCCAGGGAGAGATTTGGCCCCATGTGTGAGCTGGCAGGTATTAGGGTTTGCTCTTCAGATCTGGGCTTGTACTCAGATCTGTACCGAGCCTCTGACAGCAAGAGCAGAGCTGGAGACACAGCTATTCCCGACAGTGACTCGTGCTAACAATGTTTATGCTGTGAGGAGCTCTATTAACTGGCATAATAACTATAATTACATGGTGTAACTTCTCCTCGTTGCTTTCACCTCTAGGCTGAGATGGAAGCGTGAAGTTCTTGCAGCCCCAGAGGAACGTGTTAGATGAAATGATGCAAGTGGAGCAAAGAAGCTGGAGTCCAGCTGCAACTAAAATCAGAGCCACCTGCCTCTGCTCAGAGAATAATAGAAAAAAATTAGAAATATTGGAGGAGGAGGAGTTTAACTTCTATTTCAAATAGGGATGGTTTAAATCAAAACTATTTCTTCACTCTAGACAAGTCTTCTCTAGAAAGGGTTAGAGATTTCAGGTGCAGCTGGAAAATAGTAGATGCTTTATTTCATTGCAACTCCTTGCCTCAGTGTAAGTGGGAAAATGAGCCACTAGCTTGCTTAATAAGAGTAATGGACTCCAAAGTGTTTCTAGAATAAAGGTTGTACTTCCCTGTTGGTGGCTGTTGACTTTGAGTGACTTTCGTGGCAAACAAAGGTAACCTATCCCACCCAAAACAACCCCTACCTTTCTGTGGGCTCAGATAAGGAAAAAAACCACATGGAGTAAGTGCAGGGTGCCCTCTCAAAAAGCTGCTGAGTATTTATTTAATAGCTCACTGTCCAGACTTCATAGCACAGATGA